GTGCCGCCGGCGGCTCCCAGCCGTGGGGGGAGGCGCTCGCCCCGCCCTGCTGCCCCCTACCCCCACGGCGGGCGCGGCCCCCCCCCGCCCCCCCGCGCCGGCCCGGCCGGAGCCGGGCAGAGCCGTGCAGAGCCGTGCAGAGCCGTGCCGAGCCGTGCCGAGCTGTGCTGAGCCATGCAGAGCCGTGCCGAGCCGTGCAGAGCCGTGCAGAGCTGTGCCAAGCCGTGCAGAGCCGTGCCAAGCCGTGCCGAGCTGTGCTGAGCCATGCAGAGCCGTGCCGAGCCGTGCAGAGCCGTGCCGAGCTGTGCCGAGCCGTGCAGAGCCGTGCCAAGCCGTGCTGAGCTGTGCCAAGCTGTGCCAGGCTGTGCCGAGCCATGCTGTGAGGCACCAAGCTGATACAGGCTGTGCTGAGCCATGCTGGGTCATGCCAAGCTGTGCCGAGCTGTGCCAAGCTGTGCCAGGCTGTGCTGAGCCGTGCCATGCTGCACCAAGCTGATACAGGCTGTGCTGAGCTGTGCTGGGCTGTGCTGGGCTGTGCCGGGCTGTGTCGGGCTGTGTCAGGCTGTGCCGAGCCATGCCATGCTGCACTGAGCTTATACAGGCTGTGCTGAGCCATGCTGGGTTGTGCCAAGCTGTGCCAGGCTGTGCCGAGCCGTGCCAGGCTGTGCCGAGCTGATACAGGCTGTGCTGAGCCATGCTGAGCTGTTCTGGGCTGTGCCAAGCCGTGCTGAGCTGCTCTGGGCTAGTCCAGGCTTTGCTGGACTGTGCCGAGCCGTGCCAGGCTGCGTTGTGCCCTGCCAAGCCATGCCTGGCTGTGCCGAACTGTGCCAGGCTGCACTGAGCTGTGCCAGGCTATGCCGGGTTGTGCCAAGCCGTGCCGGGTCGTACAAGACACGCCAGGCAGTGCTGAGCTGTGCCAAGCGGTGCCAGGCTGTGCCAGACTGTACCGTGCCATGCCGGGCAATGCTGAGCTGTGCCAGGCCCCGGGGCAGCCGGGGCAGGACCGCAGCCGCACCGCGGTGGCTGAGGTGGCCGGCGCGGCTCGGGTCAGGCCCAGGCACGGGACCCTGGTGCCGTGCGGCCACCTGAGGCCCCGTGCCAGGACGGGGGACGCGCGCGCACCGCGGTGGCTGAGGTGGGCGGCGCGGCTCGGGTCAGGCCCAGGCACGGGACCCTGGTGCCGTGCGGCCACCTGAGGCCCCGTGCCAGGACGGGGGACGCGCGGGGTGACGTGGCCGCGGGGCTGCCCCGTGAGCGGCACCCCCGGGGCGCGGGGGGGCCCGGGGGCCCCGGGCCCCCCCGGCGCGCGGCGGCGCGCGCGGC